AGTAGGCGTGGTTGGAGACGAAGAGGGACTCGCTGGCAGCGGCTCCACCCTGGCTACTTGGGGTGTATTTCCCCTGGCAGGCGAGGCTGTTAGCCTGGGGGGCAGAGAGAAATCAGTACCCCACGCCTGGCCCCTGTGCCGGGCAGCCCCCTATTCCCTGAGCCCCCTTGGTGGGGCTAGCGCCCCCATTCCAAGCCCCCCATCCCCCATTCCCCGAGCTCCTCCATTCCCTGAGCCCCATATGGGGGCCAGCACCCCCACCCCCTGCCCTGGGGCCGGACAGGAGCCGGCACCCCCTAGAGGGGACAGGCCCGCGCCCCACTCCCCGCCCTGGGGCCGAACGGGAGCCGGCGCCCCCTAGAGGGGACAGACCCGCACCCCGCTCCCCGCCCTGGGGCCGGACGGGAGCCGGCGCCCCCTAGAGAGGACAGGCCCACGCCCCGCTCTGAGGCCGGATGAGAGCCGGCGCCCCCCTAGAGGGGACAGGCCCCTGCCCCATTCCCTGTGCCAGCCAGTCCCCGCCCTAGGGCCAGACGGGAGCTGTACCCCCTAGAGGGGACAGGCCCCACATCCCGCTCTGGGGCCGGATGGGAGCCGGCGCCCCCTAGAGGGGACAGACCTGCGCCCTGCCCTGGGGCTGGGTGGGAGCGGCGCCCCTGGGCCGGGGTACATACCAGGGCCCGTTTGATGTACTCCTCCTGGGCGTTCTTGGCGTTCTCCTTCTTGCCAGCCCAGGCCTTGAGGGCGGAGGCTTGCAGGGCGCGGCCGTAGGAGAAGGTGAGGGCCCAGGGCCTGTGCAGGGGGCACTTGTTGATGGCGTTGAGGTTGAGCGAAGCCTCCTCCTCGCTCTGCCCGCCGGACAGGAAGGTGATGCCTGGAGTGGTGGGATGGGGGGGGTCAGAAGGGGGCAGCAGCGACCCACGCGAGGGGCCCAGAGGAGTGTCCCGCCGGGGGTCGCTGGGACAAGGTGGGGTGACTAGTGCACTGTGGCTGCCTCGGGGGCCCTGGGCCCACCAGCATGGGAGCACCCCCGCTTCACCATCACAGAGCCACCCCATGGACTCCCGAGACCCCGAATCCTGAGTGACGGCTGGGCCGGAGGGGACCCAGTGACCCCCCCCCCGTGCCCCCTGAGCAGTGGCAGCACTGGAGGGGACCCACTGACCCCCCGCCCCAGTGGCTCTGGCTGAATCTGACCCTCCCCCTGGGCTGGGGGACGGTTTCACCTACCCCCACACGTCCGTTTCCTTCCCCAGATGAGTTCCAGCCCAGGCCGAGGCGGCGGCGAGTGTGCCAGGGCTCGGGGGGGCGGCCGGGGCCGGGTCTCCCAGGAAACGGGCTCGCCCTCCCGCTGACACCCTCTTCTCCCCCCAGGCCAGCAGCCCCCGGCGTCGCCTGCCAGCCCCTGCAGCGAGGGGCCGGGCCAGCGCCCAGGACAGGTGAGGCGTCCCAAGGAAAGCCCCGGTTCTCCAGCCGGGGGGGGGGCCCCCGGGCACAGCGGGCGGCACGGTGCGGCGCAGGGCGGTGACGGTCGCCATGGCGATCTCCTCATGGCTGTACTTCTTGGTGCAGGCGTGGCCGGGCGTCACCATGTTGGGTTTCAGCAGCGTCCCCTCCAGGTAGACGTGGTGGTCGCTCAGCGCCTTGTACACAGCTGCCAGCACCTGGGGGCGGGGCCAGAGACAGGGTGGGGCCAGCCATGGGAGGCTCCGCCCCTCAGGACCCCCAACACTCACTGGCCTGGGGAGACTCCCCCTCCCCCTTCCCACCCCTGGGGAACTCCCCCACCCATGATCCTGCCCCCACCGAACCCCCTGCCAGCTGCAGGGAGGCACCCCCTGCCCACGCCTCAAGTCTCAGCCCCGGGGCCCCTCTCACCTTCTCGGTGACGTACTGGCAGCGCTTCAGGTCATGGTCCCCATCGGGCAGGATTTCCGGCTCCACGATGGGCACAATCCCGTTCTGGGGGGGCAGACAGAGCGGGTGGGGTCAGAGACCCCCAGACACAGCAACTCAGCACCCCCATCCAGTGGCCAGATGGGGAACTGCAGCTGCCATGTGCTCAGTGTCCCCACCCAGTGGCGAGACGGGGACCTGCAGCACCCGCCCCAGGGATGCCCACCTGCTGGCAGATGCTGGCGTAGCGCGCCAGGACGTTGGCGTTCTCCAGGATGGCCAGGTGAGAGGGAGTGTGCTCCGAGATCTTCAGCACACAGCGCCACTTGGCGAAGTCAGCCCCGTCCTTCTTGTACTGGGCGCAGCGCTCGGACAGGCCATCCAGCCCTGGGGGGAGGGACAGAGCGTGAGCCCGGGGGCTAGTGCCCGGGCCCAGGCCCCGCAGGCGCTGCGCTGCCATTGGACACAGCCCACGTCACTCACCCTGGGTGGTGGTCTCTCCGTTTGTCCCGGCCAGGGGCACGACACCTTTGTCCACCTGCGGGGCAGAGGGACGGGTCCGTTCAGTCACTGGCTGCCTCCGAGAAC